TAACATATAATCACATAATTAGCATTAAGCACATAACTAATGTAATTAATTTACTTAATTAAGGAGGCGATCGTCACACGACTGCAACATTCAAGAAGCCGGTGCATAATATTGAGATGCGTTGACATAAACATCTATTATGCAGCATTGAGAGGGAGTCATCTATTTAAGCAAATTTGTAGATTGTACTCTTTTTCCTTCGTCTAATATTCTTTTTCTACTGGGTTTTTCTTAGTAAGTTTTTAATGAGGCAATCTAAACAAATCACATACAAGAATATTATACTCTTTTTCCTTCACTATAGATTTTTTCCTACTGGGTTTTCTTTGGTAAGGTTTTAACGAAACATATTCTTAGGCCTCGTTTGGGGACCCTCCATTTCAGTCAAAAATTAAAAAGTTACTAAATTAGTCAAAAAGCTAACAACTCATATCAAAAAGTCAAAGATTCTCTTTTCTCTCTACTTTTTGCACATCTTTTCATAAAAAGTCAAAAAGTCATCCCAAACATATTAGTTTTTTTAGCTCATATTTTAGCCAAATAGCCAAAAAGTTACTAAATTAGCTTGTTCTCAAACAAGGCCTTAGTATATGGTTATCTAAGAGGGAGTATTGTAAAATATTTGAATAACCATGAAAAGAGATGTAATTGGAATTAAATATGTATTACTTTATGGAATAAGATAATACAAGGAAGGAGAAATAGAGAGCTCTAGAGAAGTTTGGTCTTGATGAAGTCAGTGATTGATTCTCTTTTTATATATGTGTGTGTTCTTTTGATAAGTAGAAAGAGAGAAATGAGATATTATTGTGTGGTACAAATGTGTTGCTTTCCTACCACATATGTATGCTCTTTTGATGAGCAACGGATGTGTTGAATATATTAGTGGAAGATAATTTATTCTCTTAACCCAAATCATTTGTTATTTACCTTGGGTTCATTAGTTTTATAACATAATGTAGATATTCTCCCAAAAAAAAAATAAATAGAAAAATTGACAGTTTTAGAATTATTTTTAGTTGTGTATTTTTTTAATAGAATATATATGTCTATGTCTGTGCATATGGTTATGGTAGGTCACCTTTTGTCCCTGTTGATTGCAACTAAACCTCTTGGGTGATGGCCATTGGATTTATTCTTGAAAAGGAAAGAAATATGTGCTTCTTCTTCTTTATAATTACTTTTTTACATTTTTTTGAATAAAGGCATACTCATGATACTTTGAAAACATAAATGAACTTTAAAATTTGAGGTCATGAGACCTAAAGGGTAAAGGATACTAACCTTTCACAATGTATCTTCAGTCAAACAGTAGACCCTAGCTAGTAGTTGTGTGGTTGCCTTAAAAAGAACTTTTGAGGAGAATATGCACGCATGTTCTAAAAGGAGATACTTTTCCTAGTAAGGGACTAACTTCTTGCCACTTCAATGTTTTAATTTGAGGGTTTAATTAGGAATGGACTCAGAATTTCAATTCAAGAGCGGATATATATTAACAAAAAATTTAAAATGAAAGTATAGAACATAATATTGATTTCTATCAACATAAAAAGTAAAAAATAAAATGAAAAATATATATAAATAAGCATATTTTCCTATACCCATATTTAGCTACAAAAAATAATAATTGTAAAATAATCTATTTATTAAAGTGAGACATTTTGAAATGTGATTGATACTCCTTCATGTCATTAAATGTATCTATGATAGAGTCAGCACTAAAACTTTTAGTAATGTCTTTCTCAATGAATGTGATCAAATAACTTGATAGGAAATCATCCTCTATCCTGCTGTACAATTTGGTCTTCACAATTTTCTTGATGGGAAATGTTCATTCTATTGTACCTATTGAAATTGGTAAAGTAAATACAAGGCGAATCAATCTATCAATAAGAGGATAAATTACTAACTTTTCTATTTTCACCAATGTTAGACACAACTCAAAAATTGTTGACAAAACTCAATATGTTTAGAAACATCGAACTTATAGATTTAACCTTCGTGTTTCATAGATATAAAGAATGGTCACTTATTTTTAAAAAACCCAGGGGGCAAAGTTTTATAATTTTAAAATAAGTAATAGAAATAATAGTATAACAAGAGAGTTATTTAAAATTGTAGGGGGGCAATCACCTCCTCTTGTCCTCCCTAGGTCCATTCTTTGGTCTAATTAAGAGGTTATAGGCTTACTTCATGATTATTTTAGTGATTTAAATTATATATCTTCTAATATTCTCTTAGTAGATTATTTATACAAAAAATTAGGTTTATCGGATATTTATAATCATAAAATTGGATCACATTACATTTGTTTTTAAGAAAAGAGACGGTAAGCATGATTTTGAGAATACACTGCTCTTTTTTTTTTCTTTTTTTTTGAGACAATAATAATTTAATAATAGAAGTATCAACATGCAATTCTTATCATTTTTAATATGGATGATATCTACTTAGCAAACATTAAAAGAGAGAGGTTTGAGGTTTGGATCAATCAAATGGGTCCGAAGTAGGCTGACAATCCTGTAAATAGAACCCTCCAAGCCAATGGTTGGACTGGAGGGAAGACCTATTCCCCTAATAAATAACCAACGAGCATAACTCTAAAAGGCTAGGGATTTTTTTATCCAAAATTTCTACCCAAATATATTCTCAATCATATGGTATGGTAGAATTCTCCAAACACGTGAATCTCAGAACACAATTGTATAATTAAAAATTTATTAATATTGTGTTTGGTTGGGAGATTTGATGGAGATTTGGAAAGATAAATAGAAAATGTAGATGAAATGTGAATAAAATATACATATATTTCACCTAATTTCACACACCTTTTCTCTTTCCATTTCTAAATCCTTTCTCAAATTCCCCAACCAAACACATCGTAAAGATGGGTGACAAAAAATTTGAAATGATAAAAATTACATTTAAAACAAATTTGATCTACATATTTCAAATTATTAACGTTTTTCAAAATACATAGCATTACTGAATTTATCTCCATTTCCTAGTACATTTGATTGAAACATATTTTTGCACAATCAAAGTTTCAAAGAAACTTACCCTTTGTTGTATGTGTTAATGAAAGTTTTCCAAAATATGATATATGGACACTACTTTGATGTGGTAATCAAAAAGATATTATTGTAGACATTATTGTGAGGTGGGGGAATACAAGGCATGGCACAACCCTGTCCTCTCTCACTCTGTTTGTTCCATTTGTGTAGATTCAAAAAAACACGGCAAATGACAGAAGTAATAGTGATCGCAACCACATATTTATGATAAGCCAACCAGCTCTATAGATTATCAAATCTATTAAATGGCAAGGTGTCCCACTTCACAACCATCATCTTTGTGGCTTCTATGTCAAGTACGGTGGATCATACTGCTTTTTATTGGCTCATTTGTGTTAACCACCACGTCGCAAGTTTGATTCTTTTCAAGGCCAGTAACTTTACTGTTTTAAAACATAAGATTATTATGATGAGCTTTTTAAATTTAGAAGAACAGTATTCATTATTTAGAGTGTAAATTCAAATCCTATTCTAACTACCAAGGATGACTTGTGGGGCTTTCCCTAACTCCAGAGACTAACCGGTGTGATTAGGATTTTTTTTTCTTATTTATTTTATTTTATGGGATCCACCTTAACATTTTTTTTTAAAAAAAAAATTAAAAAGTAATGGTAGAATAACCAAATTTACTTATTACGTCACAAACACTTTTATGTTTGGTTGACTAAAAAAAAGTGAAAAATATATTATAAATAACACAACTTCTTTTTTTTTTTTTTTTTTTTTTTTTTTTTTTGGGTAAAAGTACCCATGAGATTTGTGTTCTGTGAATCCATTGGAGAAATGCTCTCTGCCTTCAGTAGCCCGGTGAGTATCAGAGGCTCAGCCCAAACAACTGCTATGCAGAACATTTGTTTGGTCTTACAAGGCCCAAATATATCTTTAACTTGCATATGGGAGCCTCAGCCTCACATTTAAGGCAAATGAACAAATTATTTGAACTTGATTTGCGTTTAAATAAGATAAGATTGAATATATTTTAAATTCATTAAGTTTTTGAAGTAAATTTAAACATCTTATTAATTGATTCGATTTGATTATATGTACTATAAAAAAATTTGCTATTCATTCGATTAAAACTCGTTTGAGATCGATTTGAAAAATAATCAAATTTAATTTAATTACATTTTAAAACTTGTTACATTTTTAAAATAAATTTAAATTACTATTCAACTCAAATCCACGAATCCTACCAAAAGAAACAAGTGAGGCAAGAAGGGCGAAGTCAAAATTCACATTGGAAACAAACAATTGGGCTCTTCAACCCAAAACTCTCACCCAATTCCAACCCGTTTGCATACTCTTTGAAAAAAATATTATTCTAATAATTGTAATATTAATTATCCCACTAGACCAAAAAACTAATGAATTGACTAATCCAACAACTGATAGGGTTGCTCGGGTCAATGAAATTTAATACATACGAGCCGAATAATCTTAACACTTTTTTATACCACCTTAATGTATCACTTTATATGTTAATATATTTTTAAAAATAAACATGATTGATAAGACTCTTTACATCAATGGTGTGCTAACACATAAAATGTCCATTAAAGATGGTATATAAAGGTAGTAAGTGTAGCATTATTGGTGCACCTTAAAAAGAGACATTGCACCTTATCACAACGTTCTATAACAAATATTGCAATATGTCAAGACTTTTTTTTTTGTACCAAAATGATTGATAGCATTTACACCACGTCATTCATAGCATAACTACAAATGTATCAGAATGGTTTGTAATTTTCACTTTAAGGTATATATCATATATTCGTTTATTTCTAACTTTTACCATAAAGTAACATAAATAATGTTTACAAAATCAGATAACATTTCTTACAACATGGCCTTTTTTAAATTCGCATACCAATCATTTCTCCATGGAGCATAAAAGATTGTCACATACACAAATTAAGATTCCTATAGAAAAACTAATTGCATGTAATTAACTTGAGGAAAATTGAACCATCACGTTTCCAACATTGCTTTATCTGTAGTACAATGTAGCTAGTCATCCAACTTGGATTTTCTCCCACCACTTATTCCCATGATAGTACTTGCTTCCTTATACATAATTTATTTTCACGCTTACCAAACACATAATATAAGACTGGCCAATGGACCCTTTTCAGTGACCTTCCATGACAATGAAGTGCAGCAATGGAAGAATCAGAATCCATGTCCCTTTTCATCATCACTCTACTCACATTATTCTCATTATAGTGCATATATATAAATATAGTACATCAAAATGAAACTCAAAAGCAAATAATTCCCTCCTTTTCTTTTTTTGATTTTTTCTCAAGGCTAGAAACACAAAAATCAAACACAACCTGACACCACAGAAAACGCACGAACAGATAGTAATTTTTTCAAAAATCTTATCCATTAATTTGTTTTCTGTGTCCGGTTCTAGTCTCTGTCTTCCTAGAATGACTATTTCTGGCTGTGCATGCGGTCTTTAACACTACCATTGGTGTTTCTTGAAAGAGAAAGGTGGATACCAGGGTCATTGTGAGTGCAAGAACAATTGTAAAGTAATGAATTGTTCTCACCCTGTACATTGCTGTTCAGGAATACATTCCGTGGTGATGATGAAGAAGAATGCATTGCCATTGCTTTCTCACTACTCTTGTCTTTGTTCTTCTTCTTCCCTTCTTCATCATTGCTGCTGTCCATTCCCGATTTTTCGCCATCACTGGCTTTCTTGTAAAGAATCTGAGGCTTGTCGGAAGAAGAATGACTCAACTCCATGACAGCACCTCTGTTTTCCCCTGCAATTGTGATAACCCTCATCCCAAACACTCCATAATCTTTAGTTCTGGTGTTATTGATTTTCCATTGGAGGTCTGGGTTGGAAGCTCTGGGAATCACCATAGGCTTTTCAACGGTTTTTTCTTGGACCAGGACGGTTTTCTGGTCGTCTTCCAGAGGACTGTTGTTGGACTTTAATTGGGCTGCCGGAGGAGGAAGCTTAAGTGGAGATGGTGGAGGAGTGTGGGGCTTGATCATAGGGGATGGAGATGGGGTGTTTGCTTGAGGTTTGGTGGTTGTGGGGGAGGGTACTGGGGTGGCCACACGAGCGGTCGCGGTGGTGGTGGTGGTGGGGGAGGGAGCAGCAGATACTGGAGGAGGTGGTGGTGGTGGTGGTGGGGAAGGTGGCAATAGTTTTGGAGAGGGTGGTGCCGAGAAAGAAGATGTTGTGGTGGTTGGAGGTGGTGTTTGTGGCGGCGGTGGCGGTGGCGGAGTTGGGGTAGCAAGTGTTTGGTTAAATGTGGGTCGGATAAAAGGTGGCCTTGGCTGGGGGGGAGGAGAAGGTTGAGCCAGTGGGGTTGGGGTTCGGGCGGTTGGGCGAGCCATGGAAGCAATTCGGAGCCATGGGCGAGGGGGAGAGGGTTGTTGTTGTTGTTGGCTTGCCATAATTTGCTAAAATTTGGTGGTAGAGAATAGAGTGTTCCAATCTACAAAGTATGTTATGGAATGAATGAGCACTTGAATTGAAATGCTGATCTATGCTCCTTATTTATAAGCTTGAGATAAATTGCAATTGTCTCACACGAGGTTAGACGGTGCTCACTACATGTCTGATTCTCGCTCATGTGATGATTGCATATGATTTTATGATCGAATTTTATAAATATAAAAGGATTGTAAGATGTAGAGAACTTATACGTTTGTTTGGAAGACATAATTTTGGAATTAGATTAATAATTTAATAAAATAAATAGTTCTAAATTTAACTAAAAAAATTAGAGTAGACGCATATAGTTAACTCGGACTTGGTAAATTATTGAATCCCTAAGTAGGTGAGACACAAAATGGAGAAATAAATAAATGTTTAGATTAGTTGGATAAATTATATTTATATATATATATATATATATATATAAGATTTTATAAATCCTCACTCAAAACTTTGGGTTAATCTAAATATAAGATACATAATAAAAAAGAATTGATAATCCCAATATCAGCCGTCATAAGAATGCAAATCTCATATTTGGACTATAAAACTAGATACATTCTCCTTACTCTGTGTTTGATTGAGAGATTTGAGAAGGAATTTGGAAAGAAAAATAAAAAATATAGGTAAAATATAAATAAAATATACCTACATTTCACATATTTTCATACATCTTTTCTCTTTCTTTTTTTAAAGAGAAATGTTTGGGACCCTTTTTTGGGGCTCCCAATTTAATATTGGCTCTTGATGGTGTGTGAGTTCTACATTATAAGTGGTTGTGATGAGAGTAGGGGTTGTGGGGATCGTGTATGTGTGGCGGTTTCTATCATAATTGTTTTTTAAATTCCTCTCAAATCCTCTAACCAAACAATAATGACTCGGACCCCCTTTTTCTCCTACTCCTTTGACCTCCTCTCAACATGATTGGTCAATTTTTTTTTTTTCTTTTTTTCTTTCTCCTCCAATCACCACCCGCCACGTGTGTGTGGGATGATGGGATGGTGATTGGAGGGAGTCTCAATCAATCATGACCCCTAACCAAATACAGAGAATCAAACTCCCTCCTAGGAGATGGTTGAGTTTGTACACAAAATTTTTCAATGCAGTACAGAGAGAGAGAGGAATGTGAGGATCGGATTCGGCTATACAGCTAAACGAAAACCAGTAGGCAGCAAGATTGGTATCAAATTATGAGGGGTTGGGGTCGTTCATTCAAGAAGCTTACGGAACTGCCTTTTGAGCCCATCCCAGGCTCATTTGGTATTGTTTTCACAAAAAGAAAATATTACATTATATATATATAATTTAATACTAACCCAATTTTTACAAACCACTGTTTAGGTTTCTAAATTTTTGAAAACTGCTTTTGCAAGAAATTCAAACTGAACTTTTCATTATTTTTAGAAAAATGCTTGGAAGCACTAATTAGTGCTCCCACTAATTAGGTGGCAGTAGATCCCGCCATTAATGATGTGATGTTTTGGTCTTGGAATTGTGTTTTTTTTTTGTTTTTTTTATTTTTTTAATGCGTTAGTGCTATTAGTGGTGATGTTTTTAGTGGGATGAATCATTGTTGAGTTTAGTGGCCTCTACATCACACTTTTTGCTTGCACTAAAAACATCACATGACCTTTTTCTGTGCTAATTGCGGCAGCCTACTGTAACTTATTCTTCAACAATCACAATCAAATTATTTTTACTCAAAAAAAATTTTGTGTGATTATTATATGTTAATAAATTTTGTAAACCGTTCATACTTTTTTTTGTTTTTTTTTTCAAAATAGACACCAAACAATATTTGTACTTTTCCAACATTTTTATAAATATAACAAAAAAAAAAAAACTATAAACATAAACGTTACAAGTAGTATATATTCAAAATATATATATATCATAATTTTAATTTATTCAAACTTTGTAAAGTATGAGTTGTTCATAGTATGAAATTGATTCCTTCCAATGTATCCAAAAAAAAATAAAAAATGAACCAATATGATTTACACATTTCGAATTTTAACACCATCGATTTGTCTTGCACGTATTGTGTTGATAACGGCTCATAATCTCATTTGTTTTTGGCAACAGATTACACACACAAATGCGTAACAATTTACATTTCTTCTTCTTTTTCTTTTTTTTTTTTGTCAATGAGATGCTTGAATTGAGATTCACAAAAGAGCTTTGTGGTACTTCTGACTTTGGTTGTCGAGAAAAATGATGCCTATATGCTTCTATACTCTCCCTTTTCCCCCATTTTTGTAAAAGGATTTTTTTGCTTGATAGTTTCAAGGCCCTTCTTCTAAATACAGGGTGTACCTATCTCGTAATTCACCTCTTTATAAATTCATTGACACTGGCCCAAAACCAATTTTAAAAAGGGAGAATTACAACAGTGAGATAGAGAAAAAAAATAATAAAAGTATGTGAGTGTAAGTCATTCTGTGGTGGAGTGCAAGTAAAAAACTATGAGGATGTAAGTGTTACTTGCACTCCATCATGTTTGTATAAAAAAAAAAAATTTATGTCCCCATTAAGATATAATTCTCTCTGTTACAAAGGTCAACCAATTTTTTTTTTAAATATTCTCTCTTTTTTTTCTTTTCTTTTCTTTCGTTTTTTATATGAGTAATTAAGAAGAATATCAAAAAAGAAATGTGAAAGAGAGAAACTTCTTATTTGTTACCATTACCAAAGTAGTTGAAGAGAAGAAAAAGAATTTCAATATTCCCAACATCACATATCACTATGAAAAATTAAGGGAGCAGCTATTCTCACTTCATTTTGTTTCAAATATAATTATTATTTGTCTTTATCACTACAAGAAAAGGGGCATATAACACGGAAATATTTGCGACGGCACCATTTACCGTCGCAAAAAGTGAGTTTTTGCAACGGCACCACTTGCCGTCGCCAATAAATCGGGTTTAAGCGACGGCGCCACTTCCTGTCACAAAAAGCAAGTTTTTGCGACGGCAAAAACTACAGTCGCAAATAATACGAGTTTTTTTGCGATGGCATGAACTACCGTCGCAAATAGGAGAGTTTTTTTAGACGGTAATAAGCGCCGTTGCAAACAAAAAATTTAAAAAAAAAATAGAGACAAATAAAAAAAATTAGTTAAACTACGCGTTTTATTGTTTAAATTTTCATTTGTGATGGTAAAATATGGTGCCGCAAAGAAAAAATCAGCTTTATTTTTCCCTTCGCGCTTGTTTTTCCCTCTCTCCCTTCCCTCCCCCCAAAAAAAAACCCTATCAAAAATCCACCCTTACCATCTGCAGTGGCCACCAGCGGCTGTTCCTCCACCTCCTCCTACTCTCGTGGCTGCTCCTCCTCTTCACCACCATTCCATGCCTATGGAAAACCCTAATCGCCTCTCCAACGATGAGGTACATTTTCAATTTCATCTCATCAATTCGATCGATTCATTTTCAAATCATTAGTAGATCCATTAGATTCATCACTGTGTTTGGTTTCTAGGTTCGAACGATAAAAAATCCATCCCTACCATCCACAGTGGCCGCCGGCGGCTATTCTTCCACCTCCTCCTACTCCCACGGCTGCTCCTCCTTTTCACCACCATTCCATGCCCATGGAAAACCCTAATCGCCTCTCCAACGACGAGGTACTTTTTCAATTTCATCTCATCAATTCGATCGATTCATTTTCAAATCATTAGTAGATCCATTAGATAGTTTCTAGGTTGGAACGATCTTCATATCGGGCCTCCCCGAGGACGTGAAGGAGAGAGAACTTCAGAACCTTCTCAGATGGTTACCTGGTTACGAGGCTTCGCAGGTTAACTGAAAAGGTAAACATCCTATGGGTTTTGCTCTCTTCACTGCTCCTCCTTTTGCCATTGCTGCTAATGATGCCCTTCAGGTTCTCATCTTCACAATCGTTACCTATATTATTTGTTTTGATTAATCGATCTCTGTTGTACTAAATTATTATTGGGTTTGGTTTTGTGGTTTAGGAGATGGTATTTGATGCGGAATCAAAGTCTGTTTTGTACACAAAGATAGCAAAGAAAAATCTATTTGTCAAAAGGGGTGAGTCTTCTATTTTTAATCGAAGCTTTTTTTACTTCAAAAATCATGTCAGAAAATAGGGTTAAATATTGTAGACTTGTAGTGTTGTTTTTTGTTTGTTTTCTTGTTTCAAAATAATTTGAAGCCTCGTAACTAGACCAGAACTTTGGAACAGAGCAAGAACATTCATTCGTAACGGTCTTCAGAGCTTGCAGAGGTGTTCTTATATTCTATAATATTCTATAATAATATGGATAAGATTAAGCAGGCTTGGTAGTTGTTTGCATAGTATCTTGTTATGGGTATGGGTTGAAATCAAGGAACCTTGTTTTCTGGAATGCATTTATTAGAATGTGCTTAAATTTGAGTAAAACCCTAGAGAGTGTGAATGTAGATAACTCACATGTCTTGTATTATGTATTATGTATCATGGTCATCTGGTTGTTATTGCTTAATTTTATAAAGTTATTTATGTGAAAGTTTGAAAGTGTCTATCTAATTTTTTGCAAGTGATTATTTCTTTCTTGTACCTTGTGTATGTGTGCTTATGCATTGAATTGAACCCTTTTTTTTAGCATGATTGTCTGTCCATTGGTCACTATTGTGGCAACACCCCAATCAATGGGTTTACAAGTTTCTGTCCAACTAGAAGATCCATCAGAAAAAAGGTAGCTTAGTGTATGAGGATTAGGAAACACCATATACACTAGTGTATAAAAGAAATCATAGTTCTACTGGGCGATCTGTGCAAAGTCCAATTACAATTTCTTTTGGATATCCCAAGCAAAAACACATGATTCTCATCCCATAATTAGGATGTAGGTAAAGAACTACCATGTGGTGAGGATGGTTAGTTCCACGTATGGTTAGAGATTTGTGTCATATGGAAAGCAAGAAACACTGTCACACCCCAAACCCGCCCCTAGAAGTTTGGGCATGACCACTTCAGAAACGGACACTTAACCTGTTATATATAACATATGGGGCCTGAGTGGAAGCGTAAATTTTATATAATAACATGCAAGAAAAGAGCTACATCCATTGAGCGACCACTATCATGCCAGGATCACAAACAGATAGATAATAATAGTTACATAC